TTAACTCTTCTGATTTCTAGAGCAACAACAAAACACGCATTTTCATCTATGAGACTTATCAAAAATCGACTTCGGAACAATATAGAGGATGAGTTTCTTGGTGATTATATGATGCTTCACATTGAAAAAGAATTAGCTGATAATATCGATAATGAATCAATAATTAGTTATTTTAACTCTTTGAAGCCTCGAAGGGTGCATTAAATAGTTTTATTTTGTATTGCATTACATGTTTATTTATTGTTGATTTTTTTTACTAGTTTCTGTCGTCTGTACTAGATGCATTTTGTGGGGTAAGGCTCCTTACGTCCCCCCCAACTAGGTGCATCATTTTTTGTTATCAATAACATTCACTCGTGCCGTCAAGGTTTTTTTTTGTAAAGTAAATTTAGCCGAGTCCATCTTGAAATTCTAAATCCGTCCGTGTATCCAATAACATTTTTAGATAACTTTCCTCATCTCATAGGCCATGAATTTGTCGATTAAGTAAATAACTGGTAATGAGACAATTACTTGAACCAACATATTTTCCCAACTAAATTAGCTATAAAATAATAGATGAAGTATCCATGAAGTTGTATCAATCCCACTTGCAACCTACCCCAACTTTACCCGCGATCATAATCTAAAATATCGATAATATCGGCGAAGTATTGAGGATATTATCATTTTTCCGGGTCAAGGATATTTTAGAACCTATCCATACACATATCGCGATGTCGATAATTTCTCTCACACTTCAGCAATATTTGGCCAAAATATCGCGATAATATCGATAATATCAAGATGATGAAGACAATGAAAAATTTGAAGAGTTATTTACACTAACACCACCTAAGATTTCTTGTGTTTTCACAAAACCCCCTTAGGTCTCAAAAATTACACGAACACCCCCTGAGGTTTCAATTTGTTTTCACAAAACCTCTTTTCATTAATTGTTTGTCCAAAAATTGATGATTTCATTGGAAAAAAAAAACTTATGCAAATGACAAAATTAACCTCAATGAAGTATATGCAATCTAATCTCAAAGGCCAACCTTGTCATTTAGAGAATTTTTATTTTGTATAAAATCATCAATCTCTGGATGAAAAATCAATGAAAAAGAGTTTTGTTAAAACAATTTAAAACCTCAGGGGGTGTTTTTGTAATTTCTAAAACCTTAAGGAGTTTTGTAAAAAAACCTCAGGAGGTGTTAGTGTAAATAACTCAAATTTGAACCTTATAAGAACTCTATGTGGTACTAAGTCACTCATGTATCTTACCATGTAATGAATAAAGTGTAAAATATAGTAGTAAATCATTATAAATAAATGATTATGGTGTGATTATTCTTCTTTCATTAATTACTACATATTTTCTACACTCGCAGTGTTTGTCAACTTACTATATAATTAACTTAAATCAGTTAAACCCATCATGCAATGCATTTCCTTCCTATTTTTTGTGATAAAGTAATAGATAATTGACTAAATAAACATCCTCCAAAGTTTCAAGGAAAATTTCCAAGTTTTTCTTACAATTTTCGTGAATTTTATTCAATTTTTATCGATATCGATGATATCCCGATATTTCTATCGAAATTTCTGTGTTTTTGGACTACCGATATTTCCGAAACCATCAGTATTTTAGACCTTGCCCACGATCTCTCTCTCTCTCTGTGAGAGCCCCCCACCCATACCACCCCTTGCACCTTCCTACAACAAATGTTTTTTTAATTTAAAATAATTATTTTCTTACTTTCAATTTTTAAAACATTTTAAAAAAATATATTTGTTTATTTAATTCTTGTGGCGTGCTACATTAAAAAATTAACAAAAACATTTGACCGAAGTTCACGGTAAGGACCAAAGAGATTTAAATAAAAACTAACAAGGTCATCTTAAAGACTAACAAGGTCGCATAAAAACCTTAATTATCAGAAGTTATAATTTCGTTAATCTCAATGGCTATTTGTAAGAATAACTCAAACTCAATAATAGCTAAATTTTGACACACGACAAAAATGAGGACCAAACATCCCTACAATAATACAATCAAAACTTAGCAAAAAATTCAACAACCAAAAAAAGATGGAGAATGCGTGCAACTGCCTCACCATTGACCAGACACGAGTAGTTAGAAAAACAAAATGAAATGCAATATTATATTATCACATTTCTATCTTCTCCAATATCATACAGGATTCAGCATGGAGATTTGGAGACTGCGTAAACCCTTCTAGGCGTCATGTACAAATAACGCACTTTACCAAACTACCCTCACCACCCTTCAAAATTTCATCACTAGAACAATGAAACACACCGTAATTACCGCGTTGTCTACAAGGGTAATTTAGTCATGAAAAGTGACAGCGATGAAAACAAATTGCGACTTTTAAATTACACACATAGAACGCCCAACGGTCCAACTTTGACTCTCTCGCTCTAGAAAAATTCTCTCTGGAATGCTGGTCATCTACAAATTCAACTCCTCGCGCATGGGTTTCCCAAACCCTGAAAACCCTAAACACCTGTTATTTGAAACCCTAGGAAGACCGTTTAATTTCTGATTCAATTGCACTCGAATTTCCAAAGCCCCAACGCCATCATGGAAACGGTATCGTTGGATTTCCTGGTCCCGTCCTTATGGGAGATCGAGGTCACAGTGGTTGCCTCCGTCTTCGTGATCTTCGCTTACTGGTTCTTCACGTACAGGGGCGGCGGAGCTGAATATGCTGATCGCCCAGTTGTGGACAATTCTGGTGCTTTCGGAGATGCCATTGATGAAAAAGACAAGGTCAATTCGCTAATTTGATTTTCTCTTTACTTTGATTTTGATTATCAAATTTCGAACCTTCTGCGTATGTTTATAGTTTTTTCTTTTGGGTGGTTAGTGTGCTTGTGAATTGTGTAGCTTCATATGATTGCGCTTCATATTCGGGAACTAGATGATAAAGTCGAGGTCAACTCAGTAAATGAACTTTGTTTTCTTTTCTTTTTTTTTTTTGGTTAAAAAGCTGAATACTTACTTCAATACTTCCAGTACCGTTCTTCATTGAAGGCCAGCGCAAGCTTTCTTGTTGTTTTGTTTGTTCTTTTTTGTGTGAGTTTTATTGGGTTTTGATGATAAAGACAAGGTCATTCAGTCCTTATAAATTTTTATGCATGAAAAAAATTTACCCCCCTATTTGCAATAGTCATGTTGATATATTTTGAAAGATTGTCAGGTTTGGTTCTTTCTTGCTTATAGTTATGTCAATTGGTTTCTACTTTCCATGATTATCGTCTATGGTAGTAGACCAGTTCTTGATTTTTGTTTCTTTGGTTTTCTATCCAAAGTTCTTCTTTTGGCATATAGAAACAATGAAGTTTGGTTAACTTTGTTCTAATATTTTTAATGCGTGTTTGTCGGGGTTTGTAGTAATTAATGCCATCTTTGTGATAAAACGAGGTCAGCTCAAGTCATTTCTAATCTTTCCTTTCTATTGGGTGCGTTTGTTTCAGAAATTAATATTTTAGGAAAAACAAGAGAGCCCCTTTCAGACAGCAGTGTTTTACTTTTTGGAAAAACAAATGGAAGGGCATATTTGTTATTTTGATTTGTGGTTAACACCAGGGATGGGTTTAGGAAATTAACCCCTTCCCTTGGGAACGCATAACCTTCATTTTTGGGTTTTGGATACCTATGTAAAAAGTCAAATGCAGAGTAATTTGCACTTACCAAACATGCAATGCATTATTAGAAAATGCTAAAGCTCATTCTTAGCCTTAATTCCATGCAACAGACACAACCTCAATATCAGATTTTTCTTCTTGTTGAAATTTGGACTTTTTTTGTTGCTGTTGTTTAGCATTATTATCATAATTTCTGCATTTCTGGTTATCATTGTCCTTGATGCAAAGTCAGTAAGAGTCTGGGAAATACGTTATGGAGTTTGTGGATAAATCATGAATAAAGAATTTAGTAATTCCCTTCATGTAATAACTGCTTTTGGAGTCCTTTTTTTAATAGTTACTCTATTTTGAAAAAAAACAAAACAGAAGGAAGTTTACCATATGAAGTAACATTAACCCCACAAGAGTAGCTCCTGAAATTGTGGGTGATAAAGAATTGTTCTTGACAAACAACAAAATTGGAAACTAAGTCTGCCTTCCTACACTTGTTGCGGTTACCGTTAGATTCTGTGTTGTGTGGAAGGGCTAATTATTAATCTAAAGAAATCTTTTGAGGGTTACTTGTGTCGATCATGAGGTGGTGAGCGACCAAAATGATATTTTGTCCATCTGAATTGTATACATGCTGCATGCTGTCTTCACACATTGTTGTTGGGCATCCATTAATGTCGCAAGATGCATTTTCATATGCAGCCTGTTTCCTTGAATAATTTTTAACTTGTTTGACATGCAGAAAAAAATATTTGTTTATTTAATTCTTGTGGCGTGCTACATTAAAAAATTAACAAAAACATTTGACCGAAGTTCACGGTAAGGACCAAAGAGATTTAAATAAAAACTAACAAGGTCATCTTAAAGACTAACAAGGTCGCATAAAAACCTTAATTATCAGAAGTTATAATTTCGTTAATCTCAATGGCTATTTGTAAGAATAACTCAAACTCAATAATAGCTAAATTTTGACACACGACAAAAATGAGGACCAAACATCCCTACAATAATACAATCAAAACTTAGCAAAAAATTCAACAACCAAAAAAAGATGGAGAATGCGTGCAACTGCCTCACCATTGACCAGACACGAGTAGTTAGAAAAACAAAATGAAATGCAATATTATATTATCACATTTCTATCTTCTCCAATATCATACAGGATTCAGCATGGAGATTTGGAGACTGCGTAAACCCTTCTAGGCGTCATGTACAAATAACGCACTTTACCAAACTACCCTCACCACCCTTCAAAATTTCATCACTAGAACAATGAAACACACCGTAATTACCGCGTTGTCTACAAGGGTAATTTAGTCATGAAAAGTGACAGCGATGAAAACAAATTGCGACTTTTAAATTACACACATAGAACGCCCAACGGTCCAACTTTGACTCTCTCGCTCTAGAAAAATTCTCTCTGGAATGCTGGTCATCTACAAATTCAACTCCTCGCGCATGGGTTTCCCAAACCCTGAAAACCCTAAACACCTGTTATTTGAAACCCTAGGAAGACCGTTTAATTTCTGATTCAATTGCACTCGAATTTCCAAAGCCCCAACGCCATCATGGAAACGGTATCGTTGGATTTCCTGGTCCCGTCCTTATGGGAGATCGAGGTCACAGTGGTTGCCTCCGTCTTCGTGATCTTCGCTTACTGGTTCTTCACGTACAGGGGCGGCGGAGCTGAATATGCTGATCGCCCAGTTGTGGACAATTCTGGTGCTTTCGGAGATGCCATTGATGAAAAAGACAAGGTCAATTCGCTAATTTGATTTTCTCTTTACTTTGATTTTGATTATCAAATTTCGAACCTTCTGCGTATGTTTATAGTTTTTTCTTTTGGGTGGTTAGTGTGCTTGTGAATTGTGTAGCTTCATATGATTGCGCTTCATATTCGGGAACTAGATGATAAAGTCGAGGTCAACTCAGTAAATGAACTTTGTTTTCTTTTCTTTTTTTTTTTTGGTTAAAAAGCTGAATACTTACTTCAATACTTCCAGTACCGTTCTTCATTGAAGGCCAGCGCAAGCTTTCTTGTTGTTTTGTTTGTTCTTTTTTGTGTGAGTTTTATTGGGTTTTGATGATAAAGACAAGGTCATTCAGTCCTTATAAATTTTTATGCATGAAAAAAATTTACCCCCCTATTTGCAATAGTCATGTTGATATATTTTGAAAGATTGTCAGGTTTGGTTCTTTCTTGCTTATAGTTATGTCAATTGGTTTCTACTTTCCATGATTATCGTCTATGGTAGTAGACCAGTTCTTGATTTTTGTTTCTTTGGTTTTCTATCCAAAGTTCTTCTTTTGGCATATAGAAACAATGAAGTTTGGTTAACTTTGTTCTAATATTTTTAATGCGTGTTTGTCGGGGTTTGTAGTAATTAATGCCATCTTTGTGATAAAACGAGGTCAGCTCAAGTCATTTCTAATCTTTCCTTTCTATTGGGTGCGTTTGTTTCAGAAATTAATATTTTAGGAAAAACAAGAGAGCCCCTTTCAGACAGCAGTGTTTTACTTTTTGGAAAAACAAATGGAAGGGCATATTTGTTATTTTGATTTGTGGTTAACACCAGGGATGGGTTTAGGAAATTAACCCCTTCCCTTGGGAACGCATAACCTTCATTTTTGGGTTTTGGATACCTATGTAAAAAGTCAAATGCAGAGTAATTTGCACTTACCAAACATGCAATGCATTATTAGAAAATGCTAAAGCTCATTCTTAGCCTTAATTCCATGCAACAGACACAACCTCAATATCAGATTTTTCTTCTTGTTGAAATTTGGACTTTTTTTGTTGCTGTTGTTTAGCATTATTATCATAATTTCTGCATTTCTGGTTATCATTGTCCTTGATGCAAAGTCAGTAAGAGTCTGGGAAATACGTTATGGAGTTTGTGGATAAATCATGAATAAAGAATTTAGTAATTCCCTTCATGTAATAACTGCTTTTGGAGTCCTTTTTTTAATAGTTACTCTATTTTGAAAAAAAACAAAACAGAAGGAAGTTTACCATATGAAGTAACATTAACCCCACAAGAGTAGCTCCTGAAATTGTGGGTGATAAAGAATTGTTCTTGACAAACAACAAAATTGGAAACTAAGTCTGCCTTCCTACACTTGTTGCGGTTACCGTTAGATTCTGTGTTGTGTGGAAGGGCTAATTATTAATCTAAAGAAATCTTTTGAGGGTTACTTGTGTCGATCATGAGGTGGTGAGCGACCAAAATGATATTTTGTCCATCTGAATTGTATACATGCTGCATGCTGTCTTCACACATTGTTGTTGGGCATCCATTAATGTCGCAAGATGCATTTTCATATGCAGCCTGTTTCCTTGAATAATTTTTAACTTGTTTGACATGCAGTTCTGCACTTATTTTGTAGATCCAGTTGAAAGGAGATCTTCAAAACAGTTCTGCATATTTAATCAAGGTATAGCATGATTGATTCTGGGGTTGTTGCTTGAATAGATGAAGACCTGGATATAATAATTGGTGTTGTTTCCTTATTTATGTATTTTGTTGTTTGCATAATGTTATTTATTTATTTATTATGAGATGGTGCATTACTTTCCAGCTGGAACTGTTGGCTGCTAAGAATCTCATCGGTGCAAACTTAAATGGCACGTCGGATCCCTATGCTATGATCACTTGTGGAACAGAAAAGCGATTCAGGTTACCTGATTCTGGTTCTCTTTGTTTGCCACGTTTTACTTAATTATGTTTAAAAATAGACAGATAAATATATGTGTGTATATATTTCTTACATTTCATGAGAAGGTTTTATTTACTTTTGTTGCTGGTGCAGTTCAATGGTCCCTGGTTCAAGAAATCCTATGTGGGGAGAGGAGTTTAATTTTTCTGTTGATGAGCTTCCTGTCAAGGTACCTATCATGTTTTGTAATTTTTATGCGTTGGCACTGTCAAGAATGTAATTGTGAGGTTCAATAATGACAAATGCATTTTTCAAATATTTTTTTTTACTGAATCAACTGAAGTTTAAAGTTCTACATCTTGTGTTGGTTTCTTTTTTTCTTTGGATCTTTATTTTTCCAATAAGCTATACAGGAAACCTGGTTGTAATATAATGTTTGTAAGGCTTACCTGGTGCTGTAATTTCTGTGCTCCCTGCATTTCCGTTAAAACTAATGAACCAATGTTTCTTGTCCTTTTGAGGCCTTATACTTTCATTGTATGTTGTGTCTGCAGATTGATGACCTAGTTTTTATGTAGGATTGGTTTATTAAACTGATGTATTTTCCGTTTCTCCTCACAGATTAATGTGACAATATATGACTGGGATATAATATGGAAAAGCACTGTTCTTGGTTCAGTGACTGTTCCAGTTGAAAGTGAGGGTCAAACAGGTGCAGTATGGTATACATTGGATAGCCCATCGGGGCAGGTAGGTCTTTCTGCATATTACCTTTTTGGTTTTAGTTTTATCATTTATATGGTTATTACTATTATCACTATCCTTGTACAAATCAATTAGAATCTTGTTTTGTCTTGTCAGGTGTGTCTCCATATAAAAACAATAAAACTCCCTGTGAATTCTTCAAGGTAGTCTTTTTAGTTTATATCTTTCTAACATTTTCTTTCAGTTTATCTTTGGAGCCATTATCCTATGCCTGCAAAGTCATAAGTTGAAGTCCTCACTAGCGATGCTTGTGCGGATTTCATAATCATATATTTTGCCTTTTTATATCAGTCCTAGAAATAAATATATTTCACTGTGTTTCATTTCATGTGATTTTCTGTTTGTATGATATGATGATATTAAATATTTGATTCCAATCATGCACAGTTTTACTTTTCCCTTCGCTGCACATGATGGGACTACACCCTTCTTACACTAAGACAGCTCTCTTTCCTTTTCTTTTTCCTTTTTTTCTATGCATGCCTGGTTGAGTCACTAGAGCAGGCACTGGATTAAAATATATTAATTTTCTTTTGATGTTATGGTTGCTATCGTTAATATAATTTCCTTAATTGGTATTATTAATGGGAGCTGATTTTCCCACTCCTCTTGTCCACTTACACTTAGCCTTTTGTTTTTTAATACTTTTGTAATTACCATTAAAAGGGAGTGTAAGCGGACAAAAGGGGAGTGGGAAAATCAAAAGGGAGTGTAAGTATTCAAAAAGGGAGTGGGAAAATCAGCACCCTTATTAATATGTCCTAATTACCATGCAATTAGTGGTAGGGCTATGAATGGCTATGCTGGAGCTAATGCTCGAAGATGGGTACCTTCAGATAAACAAGGGCCCACAGTGGTTCATCAAAAGCCAGGCCCTCTCCAAACTATATTTAATCTACTTCCAGATGAGGTGAGTTGAGTGGAACGTGTTTGGCAATGTTTATATGTGAAACTCTTAATGACATATATCTATTGTACATGTACATGATTGTTCGTTTAATTATGTCTAGTTGTTCCAGTCGTGGGATTAATATAGTATCTGTTTCAGGTTGTGGAACATAGTTATTCATGTGCACTTGAGAGGTCATTCTTGTATCATGGCCGTATGTATGTCTCTGCATGGCACATTTGCTTCCACTCTAATGTGTTTTCTAAGCAAATGAAGGTCAGGCTATCATTCTTTCTGTCAAGTTTAAGCCAATATCATAAGACTTTGTTTCTTTTTGAATCATGAGAGACTAATTTACAAAGTTTGACAGTGCTCCTAATTGATTATAGTTTTCACTGTTTTGTCATACTCATATCTTCATATTACCATCCTTGTCTTTAACATTCATTAGCAGTTCAACATATTGCATGATAAAGTAATTTTGACTCTTAACAACCATCTTACATAAATGCTTTAGATTTCACAGGGTCTTATTAGTCTTTAAATTTGGGAAAATATAATAAGGAATTAGGATTTGGGACTGCAACAGTTTGGTCCATATCTTTTAAAAACTGGGAAAATAACCTTAAATTTACGAATTGTTACGCCATTAGTCAGTTCGTCTGTCAAACTATCAGGTTAGCTCCTATTTTTGTGGGGCAATCAGTGGCATAATTTTTTGGTTATATGGATGTTAGATTGATGCCACCACATGAGCCATTTTTCATCCCTTTCTATGTCTAGAAGGTTAAGTTTTCTTTGAGAAACGTTTGTATTTGTTGTCCAATGGCATCCCTTAATCCTTGTTTCATTGATCTGGCTTTCAAATAAGTAAAAAAAAAATGGGTTGAGTGCTAAGTCAAAAAACAAAGGTTAGCTTGACAGTTTGACTGTAAAAGGGCCTATGGTGTACGGATTTGTAGGGTTATTGTCAATTTTAAAAGACAAAGACCAAACTGTCACTTACCCCAAAGCACAGGGGTGCAAAGTATCATTGACCCTTTTAAATTCATCATGGATATTGTTTTACTTATCTCAAGTTCAACAAGTGCTTTACAACTTCATAATTTATGGAAAGTTAGAAGTTTAGAAAGAAAGTTATGATATTTTAAAGTTGCTTAAAAAAAATCAGTGGCATATTTGTAATTTTCGTTTTTAAATATCATAACTTTAATATTACTATTTGATTGTTTTTGTAATAGACTATGTTCTTTGGATTTCTTGACTCACAATCTCAAAAAGGTATACCCCTTAAAAAAATCAGTGGCATATTGTTTTATTGCATGTCATTGGATTGATTTATTGTTTATTTTTTTTGTAGATGTATGATGGTAACCTTTAAATGTCAGTTAGAATGATTTCTAATATCATGTCCTTTTTTTCACTTTTGACAGGTCATCATACCATTTGGTGATATTGATGAGGTGCTCTCTCTCTCTCTCTCTCTCTCTCTCCCTAAGGTGACAGAGTTGATTAATTTGCAATGCTTAATCCTGTGGAATTTATTGTTAAAGATTCGGAGGAGTCAGCATGCATTCATTAATCCTGCTATAACAATTATACTTCGCATGGGTGCTGGTGGGCATGGTGTACCTCCTTTGGGGAGTCCTGACGGTCAGTGATTAGTTCTAAACACTTTTAATAGGGATTTTTTTTACTTTTAGTCTTTTGTTTTAGATGAGCTTCAAAATGCAAGCTTACGATTAACAGCATTTTCAAACTTTGTTTCTGTTATTCTATAGACTATGTGCTGTATCTGTACTGTTTTACCAAAATAGAATATAGAGCTCTTCGCAAACAAACAATTAGGATATGGAGCTTTCAGTGCTGCATTTCATTTTATTTCTTCTTGTTTGTCTATTTTCGGGATCCATAAGGTTGAATTGGGCCGGCTAGCTAGGTTGAGTTTAGAGCCTATTGGAGCTCAGCCTGCTTTGTATAGCTCTATTTCCAACTTAATCTGGGTATCGTATCAGATCTTTTAGCCCAAGCTCACAATGTCTTTTATGATTGTCTATGGGCTGAGTTTGGGCCAACCTAAGGTGGAAAGGTTATCTTAAGTTTCTCCAACAATTTGTTTTCTTTTGACTCTTAACTTATTAGCCATAGGCACTGGACCACTAAAACCTACAGGTAACATGTCGATGACTGGACCACTTTCCTCTTCTATTCCTGGTAGATTACTTGTCCACTTTGCTGTACAGCACCTCTTAAACCTCTTATGAAATAAAATTTCATCTTATCGTTTAACAAAAAAACAAAAACAACTTGTGCTAATTACCAGTTGCACAACGGTGGGTGGGTTCATTACAGAGTTGAATATTGCCAAGCATTATGTGCTTGCATTCTAATTAGGCATAATGCTGGTGGCATAGGACCACTCACAGAGGTATTTAGGGGCTTTGGGAAGGCTTCTTGATATTTAGAGAGGAAAAGAGGAAGATAACCTAAAAGGCCATAATATAGACATGGTAATCGAACAAAACCAAAGGCCACAACTATAGCCAATTAACAAATCTGGATAGTATAAAAATTCCCTTTTCGAGTTATAGTGAATGTAGCTTATAAAATATAAAACTGACCACTTACTAATATAGATAAACCAAAATGAGGACTCAATAGTGACTGAAGTGGCCTGTGAACAAGATGATCTTTAAGCTAGCTTTTTGTTTTTTAAAACAAACTTTTAGTTGTCTGCATAAGTTGGTATATGGGTGTTGCATTAATTTGAATTACTCAAGAATGTTTTTTATTTCTCATACAAATGCTAAATTTTTGTTTCATTCTGTATGTCCTGACAGTAAGTTGGCTTTTTGATGGTGAATTCTTGTTAGTTTTCTTGTGCATTTTCATTCAAGTGCTAGTTTTCAAGTTTTAATGTTGTTTTTTGAATCTATTGTGGATTCTTTTTTATTCTGACCATTGATCATTTAAAATGAGTTTAGGTAATGTACTTGTTCAGAGTGCAGATGTGAGGACAGTGCTTTGATTTATTGGTCGTGTCTAAATTGTGAATTTTGTTTCTAATCTTCAATATTTCTCATTTCAGCTTCTTATAAATATTGAATCATATCATAAGATCCTCTCATTAGACCTGAGTTGCATGAAGCTTCTGTAAAAGTGCCTCTTCCAGTTTCTTGATTGCATGTAAGCTTTGCAGTGTATTCAAATTTTGTTCATCTTTTTTCTTGTTTTTCCCCATTGGTGTCTGTCCTGGATAACTTTTTGTTTGTATGACTTGCATTGAATCAGACTTATTCACAAGTGTTTCATTTGGTGTCTCTAGTACAAAGTAAATGCACATTCTATGGTTGATGTGTTACGTACGGGCTTTTATATTGACTTGTTTTTCCATATGAGTTATGGTGTTTATGCTCTTTAGTCTTTCGTTTTATTTTTTTACTTTATGAGCATATTTATTTAGAGTACTCTTGGGAAAAATCATTAAGATGAATTTACCTGTTAATGTGTGTTTTGTGGTTTTATCGCCTTGCCATTTTCAGGTAGAGTGAGATATAAATTTGCATCATTTTGGAACAGGAATCATGCATTTAGAGGTCTCCATCGCACAGAAAAGAATTACCATGCAATGTTAGAAGCTGAGAAGAAGGTTGATACTGTGTATTTCATGAGTTTTGTTGTCTACCTGGGTTAATGTTTTTGAAGTTCACTCATGTTTTATCTACTAGAGAGAGCTGGAGCCCGATCTAGCTTTGACAGAACTGAACTTTATAACTCAATCATGTTAATTTTATATCACCAATGATTATAATCATGATAATGTTGATGTAGTCAAAAACAAGGATCTTTCTTGTGTTCTTTTGATATAGTGTGACAGAAGCATCCTGATGGGGCCACTGAAATTCTGTGGCTTTAGTGTTCACAAGATCAATTTCAGTGGCTTTAGCATTTACAATATCAAGTTTGCACATGCATTCTTTCAACATGTGTATTTAAATCTTAGAAGCAATTCCACTCATTGAATCCTGGCTTTGCCTGTTTTACATCTGTTGTTGATTTTTAAAATGTGAATCTCCCCCTTTTATTTATCCATCATGCTTTAACTTGCTGATCCTTTCCCTCTAAGTTGCCTGAAATGGTTGGATGGAGAATTTTTTTATTTTTTATTTTCTTATGATATGTTCTCTCTGGTATATAGGAAAAGGCAGCGTCAGCACTGCGTGCACATAGCAGTTCTGTAAAAGGAAGTCAGGCTAAGATTCCTGAAGATATCATCCCCAAAACTGGAAAGCTTCCAGGTTTTATCAAGGAAGAAGTGATAACTAGTATATATAATGTATGCATCATTTTAATTTGTTTTCCACCATGATATTAGGTATGTTAATCAGTTATTAATAAACAGTGTTTCTTCCAGGATGTTTTCCCATGCACAGCTGAGAAGTTCTTCAATTTGTTGTTGAGTGATGGTTCAAATTATTTACATGAGTATCGTTCAGCACGAAAAGACACTAATCTTGTTGTAAGTACCTTTTATTTTTAAATAGTGCTTGTTGATTACATATCGGAATTTTGTGAATTTATGTGCGGGGTCTTGGTTGCAAGCTTTTCTTTCCTAATCCCAATATTTGATTCTGATGGTTTCCTGGCCAGTAATCATGTAGGATAATTAGTGGTACCGTGTAGTTTTTTCAACCTAGGAGAATAGTGTTTTTTGACTTCTAATCTGAAATTTCATTTGTTGATAAAATCCTAATAAAATACTGTTGTTCTATTTCCTAAGAATCTAAGATGGGCATCTTGTCTGTCCTGTGTACTTTTTACTATTAAAATCTTGTTTCCCTATTGAAACAAAATAAAATTTCTTGTTTGTTATATTTTCAGATTGGACAGTGGCATCCCGCAGATGAATATGATGGTCAACTCAGAGAAATAACATTCAGGTGCATTTGTAACAGTCCCATGTGCCCTCCAGATACAGCCATGACAGAATGGCAGCATGCTGTTTTATCACCAGACAAGAAAACACTGGTGCAGTGACTTTTGCCTTCTTTCATTGTGTTGTTTCTAGTGTTAGATTTTCGAAATTTAGTAATATTCTTTGTCGTAACATTATTTGTTCTTTCATTAGCTATTTTAAATTTCCTTTTAGTTTTTGTTCTGAAGTTCTTTGCTATCTTTTTTGTTTTTTATGTTTTATATTTCTTATTTCATCAGATTTTGCTTATTGTTTTAGGTGTTTGAGACAGTGCAGCAGGCTCATGATGTTCCATTCGGGTCTTACTTTGAGGTATGCAATACATTGATGATGCTTTTTGGCTTTTCGGATGTAATATTTTCTGGATCCTGATTTGAGATTGGTATGTGTTAGAATTCGTGATATGATTTTATCCTTCTGATTTGACAAAATAACGATGTCTTCAGTTTATTGTTAAACCAAGGAAGAAAAACCTAATGAGTTACATTACTAGCACTTGGGAAGTGAACAGTTTGGTACAAATGATAATTTTGTGAACTTCCTTCAGTTTGTTGTCCATGTTCCTTAATGAAGGAGCTCAACCTATATTCTAGAAACCTGCACTTTTTTTTTTTTTTAGAAGAAAGGAAATTTTATTGCAGAGAACAATAAAAACAAGAGTGGTCAAGGAGACCACTACAAACAGCACAGAAAAAGAAGAAACAACATAGGGAGCAAAACAATCCCTAAGGCACCAACACAGTAAGCCTGAAGGGACAGACTTAGCCTGGAAAGCAAAAGAAGGGCAGCTTTCCAATCAAGCCAAATAAACCTAAAAGAAAGATCTCAAAATTCTGACGAAGTCGAAGCCCAAAGTGAAGACCATACTCTGACTTTCTCCCATAACTCCTCACCTTCACGACAAGCATGGTTATCAAAATTAAATCTATTACGTTCCAACAAAACCACCCGTAAGACAGCCAAAACAGAGCAGCCCCAAAGCACCTTAGCTTTCTGTCCTTTTCCTGGAAGTTAATGTCTCTCCGATAAAAAGGATAAGCAGTCTTTGGATAGCACCCAGCTGATATCAAACTCCCTAAACAAACGCAACCACAGATTAAAGGTCACCAGGCAATGTAGGAAAAGATGGCCAACCGACTCTGTGCTGCTTTTGCAGAGAGAGCACCACTGAGGGCAAAGGCAGGACCTAGGCCTCCTCTGAATCATGTCACATGTGTTAACCTTCCCATGGCTCACAATCCAAGCAAAACTTTCACTTTTGGGGGGCTTCTCAATTATATGGAGCATGTGGATCCTAACTAAATTGTATTTCATTTCCTTGTTTCAGTACAAATTCAGTTCATTGAATTGGAATTATTTTTTTGACTGTCAGCCATCTAAAAATTTACGTTTGGCTATAAGTAAAGTGGATGAAAATCATGAAATAAGTAGTCTTATCAGATTTCATCTGGTGCAATTTCATGGCAATTCTTTGTGTCAGCTTGATCCAGTATTAACTTGTGAGCCAAAATTTTCTGATTGATATTGTGTTGTCATTAATATCTGAACTTTTGTTAACGATTCGCTGCATCAGGTCCATGTCAGGTGGAGGTTGGATAGTAACGATGAAAACTCATGTACTATAGACATAAAAGTTGGTAAGTTTTTAAATTTGCCTTCTGGTTTTGACCCCCATTAGTCAGCAGTTCTAATGCGTATAATCGTGAACCAAACTTGTGAAGTGAGATTGTGTTTTCATTGCTCTTGATGTAGTGGGGGTGGTGTATGAACTTGTCATGCAATGCTGTGGAAGCTGTGTGACATGTGACAGCTACGCGGCTATATGAAACATTTGTTTGTTTCATTTTTGAATGTTTTGAACAAATTGGTCATGTTTTGCAATTTGTTACAGGTGTACATTTTAAGAAATGGTGTGTGATGCAATCCAAAATAAGGGCAGGGGCTATTAACGAGGTTTGTGCTATGCTTTGTTGTGGTTTCAATTGTTATTTTTGGTACATAATTCCGCACAATGCCTCAACAATTGAATGTTCAATAATAATTGTTGTCGCTCAATGTAGTACAAGAAAGAGATCGAGCTGATGTTGGAAGTTGCCCGTTCAAACATCATCAAGACGACGAGTAATTTGAGCGGTGAGAATGACGAAGCCACATCACCCTCTGTAACTCAAGATAGCAGCTAATTTTTCCGATAAGGGCAGATTGTTTGGCTTATCTGTGCAATATGATTGTACCATATTTTCCTACTATTTGTATGTATGTTGAGCGACAATTAATTGTATACGGAGAGGTTTGTCTTCTATGTTCCAGTATAACTTCACCCTGTCTCCTTCCGAGAAAGCGAGTGGTGTGTGTTCTAGTTCATTGTGAAATAAGTCAGCTTATTTTCTTTTGTTTTTTGTTTGTCTTGAGTATACACATTAGTGAAAGATCCTCAGTTTTGTGTTCATTTTGTCGTCTATTTATATTGACATGGCTACCCTATAATGGAAATTTGGTGCCTTATTTTCATGCTTTTGGAGTATGACCTAACCCTAACCAAGAGATTGTTCTAAGGGTGGGGCATGGGTTGGGTTGGGTCGGTTTTAGTCCCAACCTATAACCGAACTCGATATATAGCGGTTTATGATTTATTAGACTTAAGACCCACTCATTATTAGGCTAACCCAATTCAACTCGAACTTTTTGTGATCGGATTAAGCAGTTTAGTCATGTTAATTTAAAATTAAACCTATTTTTAAGTTTTGATTTCAACTCGTAACCTAACCCGTACATAGCAATTTATGAATTTTTGAACATAAGCTCGCTCATTTTAAGGTCATCCCAATTCAACCCAACCCACTATGATTGAGTTGGGCAATTCAATCAGGTTAACCCAAAATTGTGCCCACCCCTAGATCGCTCGATCGAGCAAAGAACCCCTTGGCCTACACTTCCTCAAGTCAAGGATTAGGCTTTAGATTTGTATTTTTAGGGGTATATGTTATGATAAATGCAAGTGCAATAAACTAAATAACAAGAATTTAGATATACTTAATTGAATAAAACATATAGGGTTATTGATCCCAATGGTCCCCCAACTATTGCTCCAGTATCATTTTGGTTCACCAACTAAATTTTTCATTTCAATAGTCCTTCAACTCTTCATTTGGTATCAAAATGTTCCTACCGTCAAAGTCTGTCAAATATTCCGTTAAATTGAGGGGCAAAAAAGTAAAATATTATTTACTTTGGTCCCCTAACTATTGCTCCAGTATCATTTTGGCCCACCAACTAAAATTTTCATTTGAACCATCCTTCAACTCTTTTTTTTTGTATCAAGATGGTCCTACCGTCAAAGTCTATCAATTTTATTGTTATTTATTTTTGTATTTATCTGATTTTAATTTTTTTAATTAATTTAAACAATAGAGAAAAAAATTATTACTTTTTAAGTCCATGTCAGCAAAAAAAAGCCATGTTGGTGGTGAGATTCAATTTTTTCAATTTTAAAATTAGGTACAAGTTCCTATAATAGTTTTCTTCAATTTTTAATTATTATTTACTCTTTTAAAAAATTTGTTATTTTATTTTTATATTTATGTTATTTTAATTTTTTTTAATTAATTTGAACAATTGAGAATTTTTTTAATTAATTGTTAGGTCAGTCTCACGAAAAAAAAAAAAGCCATGTGGCTGGTGAGATTCAATTTTTTAAAATTTTCTAAGTTTTATAATAGTTTCCTTTAATTTTTAATTATATATTACTATTTTAATTCATAGAGACATTTTTACCCCTCAATTTAACAATAAAATTTACAGACTTTAATGGTAGGACTATCTTGATAAAAAATAAAAAAAGAGTTGAAGTATGGTTCAAATGAAAATTTTAGTTGGTGAACCAAAATGATACTGGAGCAATAGTTGGGGGACCATTTCAATCATTAACTCTTTTAAATAAACTAAAGTAAACTTAGAATGAATAACCAATAGGAAGAATAATAAGCACCATAAAGAGTGTACAAAAGATAGCACTAAACCAACCAATACTATCCAAAACCCAAGCATGTAGCACTCTTATGGTGCTTATTATTTTTTAATAAAGCATCTTTTCCTAAAAAACAAAATATAAAGAATAATAGCTTAAACGACTTGAACTGAAATAACAATCTAGTTGAAAGTACTTTGATTCTCATTGTTATAGTGTATGTATTTAGGCAGCCCTAAATATTTGGGGTTGATGTAGGGGTGGAATTAGTTCGGAAACAACAAGAAGAGCCCAACACCACCAACCGAACCAACCAAGTTGGTTGTCTAGAATCCTAAACGGCCACTGACCAATTTGGTTCACCGTTTGAGAGAGACATGGGAGAGAGAAGAGTAGTGGTTGCGAGCGGCTACCACGAGAGAGAGAGAAGACCTAATCTGCGGGAGAGAAGGGAGAGAGAGAAGGTGAGGTACATAGTGGAAGGGAGAAAGAAGATGATGGTGGGTGGGGATTGAGAGAATATGTTTTAGGGATTTAACCCTAAGGGACCGTTTGGCTTTAGGTTTAGGAGTTTGGGAATGAGTTTGAAATTGCATTCCCATGTTTGGTAAGTGCACTCTTGTGAATGCAATTATGCACTCATGGGTATAGACTTCCCATGTAGGGGGAATTTCATACCCTTGACTGAGCTTGGAAAATTTTTCCCTCTACTTGGGAAAGCAATTAATGCAAATTTTTATGACTAACTTACCAATATTCTATTTTTAAAATACCATGTTTTACCCTTAGATTACTCTTCATATTTCTTTCTTTCTCATAACAAAAGTTAAAGGTATTATTGGAAAATTGAATAATTTTTCATTCCTAATATTGCATAAACCAAACATGGGAGTAAGATAAAATGTCCTTTCTTGATAATCATTTCCCAACGTTTCTAAACATGAGAATGAACATCCTCCATTCTCATGTCATGAGATTAGACATGGAAAGTTCATTCCCAAGAAGTTCAATCCGCGAACCAAATGAGCCCTAACAGTTTTATAATACTTTTTTTAATTCCTTATGTAAGCCCTTCAATATATTTCTTGTACATGTTTAACACAAGATCAATGATTACTGCAATGGTATGATGAATTACTTTTAAGTTGGTGGTCAGAAGTTTGACTCCCCTTGGCACTAACTTCTGAAATATCGGTAGTCCAAAAACACGGAAATTTCGATGGAAATATCAGGATATTATCGATATCGATAAAAATTGAATAAAAACCAAGGAAATTATAAGAAAAACTTGGAAATTTTTATTGAAACTTTGGAGGATATTTATTTAGTCAATTATCTATTAGTTTATCACAAAAAATTGGAAGGAAATGCATTGCATGATGAGTTTAACTAATTTAAGTTGATTATATACCGAGCTCAAAAACACTGTGCATGTAGAAAATATGTAGTAATTAATGAAAGAAGATTAAACACACCATAATCATTTATATATAATGATTTACTATAATTTTTTACACTTTATACATTGCATAATACATAAGTGACTTAGTACCACATAGAGTTCTCTTTTGCATATTATCACAAAAACATAAGCAACATGGTGGTTAAGGTGTTGGAGGAGTGAAATGGCAGGGGTTCAAATCCCCTTTGCATGTGTGCTTTGTGTTTTTTTTTTTTTTTTCATTTTTTCCATTACATCGATATTTTCGATATTTTCAGTATTACAGCAATATTATAGCGATATTTTGACAAAATATTGCTGAAGTGTGAGCGAAATTATCGACATCGATATTTTTCGATATTATCGATATTTATACGATATGTGTATGGAAAAGTTATGAAATATCCATGACTCGAAAAAACGATAATATCCTCGATAGTTTTCAATATTATTGATATCCACCAGCAGTTTCTTCCAAATGCGGCCCCAACGCTAAGTCACGAAGAAGCCATAATCCAGCAGTCGGGCGTGGTACCTGCTTTAGCACAGCCGGACCTCGGTGCAGCAGAAAAAAGAAAACGCGACGGCAGCCGCCAGCACTACCTGCAGCTACCACCACACGCACCATTGCTACTAGGCACGTCGCTCCAATCGCCATGTCACGATGACAACCGGCCAATCATGACTAGCCGGTCCTCACTGAAAAAAATATATATATATATATATTCAAAAACCCAAGCATGACCTGCCTAGGTGTGCACGACAACTCCTCTCCTCAACAATCATAATAATCCTCCAAAATCTTTCTCACAAGCTAGAAAGTAGAGGAAACAAGTTTTCAATATGAAGAGGAGTGAAGAGAAGCCTTGTATTTATAATAATTGGGTATCCTTAAACAACAAGGAGACACAAGCCTATTCCAATTAGGAGCCCAATTCCAAAACAAAGTCAAAGGCCTACTCCAATTGGGAGCCGAGCTCACAATTAGAAGCCCAAACGCAGTTGGAAAGCCCGAAGAGTATTTCACATCTCCTCCCTGCCACATACGCGCCATGCATAAGCTAGGGGTATTTGTGGGAGCATATATTTCTGCGACCAATGAGCGGGTGACTCGTGGAAAAGGGAAATTCTCTAGGTCAATTATTTAATTAGTGAAATTATAATTGATTTGAGATGGGAATATCTCCCTAAATTAGGGATGATATTTCCACCGAATCTCCTTGATTAATTCCAATCTCCTATGTTTGGGTAAGAATAATCCTAATTAAATAAGGATTATTCTTCAAACCCTATCTGATAAGGAGCACTATAAATACATGGCTACATCACACATATGAGGTAATCTGATTTTACTCGCGAATTCCCCCTCTCTCACGCCACTCTCTCATATCTCTCTCTCACTGCTCCAGCCACCACCACACATGGCTCCGACCACCCGGTTCTCTCGTACTATAGAGAAAACTCTGACATTCTCTGTTATTTTCATATCTTCCTAAAGATCATCTAACTGACTTAGGTATCGGAGGGACTTTGGCCAACACCCTATCGGGTGTGATCTATTTACTCCAACCTTTTCGCAGGGATCGAGGGAGAACAAAGAGAAGGAAGTTCGAGGGTCAAAGAATTTGCGTGTGAATATTCCCCTTGCGAAATTTTTCTCAAACATTGATATTGAGTGTTTACATGTTGTTAATTATCATTATATTATTTGATTAACGTTGGCATGTACATATATTATCGATGATGGTTGGAATTCTTGGGTTGATAAAGAAATTATAACGAAGAGGGTAATGAGAATGATCATTTGTGTAGTTGAGTCTAACCATTGTAGGGACTAATGGCGGAGGGAGCTAAGGCCCACGATGGGCATGTGCCCCCTCTCAAATTTTCTTATTAATACAATCTTACTTTTCTTAACTAAATTTTAAAGTCCCCTTTCTTTCTTTGTATTTTTTTTCTTTTCTTTTGTCATTATCATTGGTACCTTTTCAAATCTCTTATTGTCATACTTTAAGTCTAAATTTTGTAGCGATAAATTACTAGCGTTGTTTTTGGTGAGGTAACCTCACCGATGGTTGC